TAGCATAGAACAAGAGATAGAAAGCTTTACCCAAGCAACGAACTCCTTGAAAAATAGAATGGAACATGGTAATATTCTCTATGATGAACTAATGACTCTATGTGACAATGAATTATATAACAGCTAAGTCAAAAGGCTGGAAAAAAATTAAAGTATCAAAAAATAACTGACTTGGAAAAGGTCTGTACTGAGGAAGGATAATTTAAGGATCATCTGATTCCCTGAAAACCAAGACTAAACACAAGACCTGGCCATCATATTCCAGGAAATCAATAAAACTGCCCAGATCTAGTAGACCCAAAAGACAAAGTAAAAATACAAAGAACCTGTTCATCATCTCCTGAAGGAAACTCCAAACTGAAAACACCTAGGAAGGTCATGGCCAAAATCCAGAGCTTTCAATTAAAAAAATAAAATTGCAAGCACAGAAGGTCAGAATTCAAGTACCAAGGGGCCACAGCCAGGATTGTATAAGACCATGATACAATTAACATAAAGGAGAAGAAGAATCTCAAAATATAATCTTCTAAAAGGCAAAAGTAAAAGGCTTACAACCAATAATAATTTAATCTGCAAAAATCGTAATTCTTCAGAGGAAGAAATAAACTTTAACAGGAGACTTTCAAATATTCTTGATGAAATAAATGATTACTGCCGAGTAGAAACTCAGACGTCAAAAGAAACCTTGAAAGGGGTGTGTGTGTGTGTGTGTGTGTGTGTGTGTATACACATACAATTAGAAAAGGCTAAACACTTAAGTATTGTTCAGTTGTTTTAATTATGTCTAACTCTTCGAGACCCTGGTAGATACTGGAGTGGTTGCTATTTCCTTCTCTAGCTTATTTTACAGATGAGGAAACTGAGGCAACCAGGGTTAAGTAACTTGCCCAGGGTCTCAAAACTACTAAAAGTTTGAGGATCAATTTGAACTAAGGTCTTCCAGTGTACTATCTATTGTGCCACCTAGCTACCCTAAAACACCTAAGTAATTACATTCTATCAAGAGGAGAACAGACAAGTGCACCTACTACTTTCAAGGGTCACAGAAGGGGGACTTAACACAGATAAACACAGGGCCTTGTTGTGGTTTGGTTCTGTTTGGTTTTAAGAAAGAAAGAAAAGGGAGGGAAAAAGTATAAGGCAGAGGAATTTGCTATCTCAAACAAATAGGGTATATAAGAATATATAAACATGAAAAAAATTTCATGAAGTTCATTCTTACATGAACTGAGCAAAGAATGGTTGAACACACACACAGAGTTTGGTGTATGAATACTCTAAATTCAACAAGAAAATAGGCAGGAATAGGCAAAGGAGTTAGATGAATACTGAAGAGCAGAGTCCAGAAGGGGACAGTCACAAGGAAAATAAACTTCACCTTTAAAGGGTTGCTCATAAAAGGAGGATTAAAAAGAGAAAAAAATGAAAGAAACAGATCAGGACCTGGCCTTAGTGAAGAAATAAGGGATAGAAGAATAGGAACCACTTTGATTATAGATTACTAGTGTTGATCAGATTAATTCTCTTTCTCCCCTTCTTTTCTCTTTGTAAAGGAAGTGGGGGACAGAGAGGAAAAAGTGTAAGTCATGACGGAAATACACAATTAACAATCATAGCAGTGAACATGAAGGAAATAAGCTCACAAAATGGAGCAGAATGGATTGGAATGCAGAATCCTAAAATATGTTGTATAAAAGCAGCACATTTGAAATGTAAAGATTCAGACAGTTAAAATGAACAGATGGAAAAGGATTTATTATGCTTTAGATGAATTCAAATCAATTGAATCGGTTTTAGTTTGTTTAGTAGACAATTTATTTTGATAAACTTGCTCGATAACAAAAATACAAGTGAAGAAAATTATGTTCATTTTATACAGCTTGTATTAACAATTTGTTTTGAAATTATTAATTGAAAAATGTTATAACCAATTAAAAAACAATCCTTAATAAAGTTTGGGATAATATACAGACTTTGAGCACAAACTTTAAAATCTCTTGAGGTGATAACAACCATGAACTCTTTTGTTGGGAATTCTACCCATGCAGACTTTTCCTTCATATATTTTTTATCCTTCAAAACTTTCAGAAGGACAGCTTCCTGTTTTAAATTGTTATGGTATTTTTTCCTTTTATCCCTATATACACATATACATATGTGTGTGTATGTGTGTGTGTGCACGTGTGCGTGTGTGTATATTTTGTATATTTATATTTCAACAGGGGAGGGGACAAACAGATTCTGGAAAAAGTTATTTATGATAGTCATAAAAACTTATGACCAAAGAGTGTTTTTAACAAAGAAAAACAAAGGCTACATGTATTCTTCTGAGGAAGCCCACACCTAAAGATAAAACTGAGATAAAGCTTCTTGAAATCTAAAGCACATTCACCACTTCTTTCCAGGGCCTTTCTTCCAAATCAGTAGGTGTAATGCTTGATACCAGGACTTCCATTTAACATAACATACTAAAGAATTTAGTCACAGAATGTCAAATATTGATATCAAACCTTTGGGCAAAAGAGTGAAAATTAATTAGGTGTTTTGGTCATCTAGAATGTAAGATAAGAGCTGTCCTTCAAAAACAAAACAAAATAGAAAGTAGGTGGAGTCAAAGAAAATTACATAAACACATTAAAAACATAGAACGTGGATTACCTTTGGAAAGAACCATACTGAAATAATTGTTTTTAATGAATTAAAGAGTTTAAATGTTTACAGATATTTAGGCATGTTCAATAAGAACTTCCTAGAGTTTAAAACTAATTAAACTTTGTGCAAATAAAACCTATAAATAGTTTTCAGCAGATTTTACAGTGACACTCTTAGGTATGAAAAAATGTACACAACTTTAAAAACAAAGTAACAGATAAAAGTTTGACAAATGATTGCACCATAAACAGTGTCTTATATACAGTTTACAAGATATGATTTTCTGCTATAAATTAATACTGTACTACATAGTACTTAATATAGTGAGTGACCTTATTAAAGGCAACTGCCAATAGTTGTCTATTTTTTCACTTACAGGATTTATAGATTTCTTTATGTAAATGGTTTCATTTCCATGTTTGGACAACAGTCCAAAGATTTGACTTCACATACTACTAGATGAAGTTGGGGTTGCTTTGTTCCTGGGTTTAATAGCCAGTGGGTCTGGCCAGTGGATGATTCCAACTCATTGGTCATTCACACACTGGGTATTTTCCAAGATGATGAAATTAGAGACATTTCGATGGTTTAGATAACAGATACTAAACAAAATCCTAAGACTTGTCATCTTACACATAATACCATTTTAAGTGATGGACGTAAACAAGTGGGGAAATTCTTAGCAGCCGAGAAACTCTCTCTCCCCATGCCCATGATCCAGTTAAAATATTTTGTGAAACTATTTACAATAAGATTGATCTTTTGGAAGAAGAAAAGCTCTTTAGTCACATCATAAATTAATTTGAATCATACTTTGCTAACACTTTATTCAGTGGTATAACGGTTATATCCAAAGCTTCACATCAAAGTGACCCATTTTGAGGACCAACCAAATCTCAATTGGCATAGCAACCCAGCAAACAAACGTCCAGAGAACATGTCCAGTAGTATTCTTAAAATTGGATATACATCATAATACTTCAGAAAAATTTTTTTTCTCTTAGAACTTTTGCTAAGGTGATGTCACCTTAGAAATGGAAAAAAAATTACCGTATAACATTTGGGGAATACTACACAGATATAATAATCCAAGAACACCCAAAACAAAAATGAGCTGATATACTGGGGTTTATTTTAACACTAAGATGTTTTTTAATTAACAGTGGAGGTATATGAATGGTGAATAGGTACATAGGAACTATGTAAGAGTTTTTGTTTTCTTATCTGACAAGGGAGCCAAGTAATTCCATGTATACTTCAAAATACAATGTGGCTTCCTGGAAAACTGCCCTCTGCAACAATTATTTAGGCATGTAACTCTTCTGACAGGTATATTTGGTTTGCCATTTCACTGTAAAGAACAAAGACTTGACTCTACTGCCAAAAAATGCCCTGATCCACTACACAAAGGGGAGAATATTCATAGTGTGTTAATTTGGAGAGGGGGAAATGAACCTGAGGGAAATGAGAAAGGAAGGGAATTAGGTAAAGAGAGACACAACTATTTGTGGTTTAAGGTTTAGCTGAAGTGTCTCTTTTAGGAAGAAACTTAAGTTGTGGGTTTAGACAACCCTTAAAGTAAATGCACATTTAAAAATGTTAGCTTTTAGCAAACAAGGCATAGAAAATAAAAAGGTATTGCTCAGGTTTTTGATGAAGATGAATTAATAATGCTTAGAGGTGGAACAAATACAAATTCATTTTTTAATGGAAGAATGAAGTTAGTACTTGTAAATGACCAAAATACTGCTGTCTATATTCACTAGTGAGCTTTATATTTTTGTAGAGTTGCTGTGCTTAAACCTAGATCAATGCATTATTAATATAACAGACAAAGCAAGTAGAAAAGAGAATCTCTGTACAACAGACAACAGTTGATAATAATTTAAATAGATTTCCCAAATTTGGGTTTGAAGTGTGACATGATCTTGCCTTCTACCCTCATATACAAATAAATTAACCATACAAAGAATCTTTAGCTTAACTTAAAATTGCACCTAGAAAAGTATGGGATTATTTGTACCTATTACAAAAACCTGTTAAAATCAAGGGCTGCTACAAAGAATGAGGTAAACTGAAGACTCTCTCCACGCTGCGGCCTTCAGAGAAATGGCTTTTTTTCTGTTGAATTCTAGGTTTGCACACCACAGTGTTTTGCTAGCAAAGCATTCCAAGTTCTCTTCCAGGAACTGTATAGGTATATATATGTATATAGACATATATACATACATACATACATATATATTATATATTATATATATACATATACACACACACATACACATACACACACTGTATACTGCATCAGCAAAATATATATATTATATATATTTATATAAATATAAGGAAGATTCCCTCCACCCCCAAAAGAACATATTTCCTAATATGTTTTTTTGTTGTTGAATTTTTTTAAAACACAGAAAATGGGGAATTTAAAGGTTTTTTTCAACACATATTTTAGCAAACACATTTTGATCTATTGGCTTCTTGGCGCAGTAATGCAACAGCAATTCATTTGGGGGCCAAAGGTTTATCTTATCACATGGGAGTTTTGTACACTAATATCTTAGGAAGTGAGGCCAGCCCCACTTGAACTTTTCTTGCAACCATCTGGTCCACCATTAGTTCATAAATAGTTAAAAAAAATTAATCAGACAAAAACAGAACGGTACAGTCACTTAGGGCCATATGCTTTTCAGTATAAAGTATTCTTCTTCACTAGGTTGCTATCACAGTGCAGACCTGACTGCCTGAATATGCTCAGGAGATTTAGTCAATGTTGTCTGTATTTGGTTATGGAAAAGGCTCTCCATTTTAATCCAAAGTGCATAGTGAGAACGAGTCAACACATTTCTCTTTTCAGTAACAGATAGCTTCATCTAAGCATCCTCCTGAGAACAGGACTGCTGAGATGCCTTGCCTTCGTCTTCCCCACCCTCCATCTTTCCCACAAAAGAAGTCAAGCAGTTTAGACATTCATCAGCCAGGTAAACAAACTTTGCCAGCAAATAGAAGTCCCACTATTGTAAAGAAAATTGATAAGACAAATAGTACATATGAAGACCCAACTACTGTATTGTTGGGCAGTTTATAAGGTTGACCTCCAACTTCATTGATGTAAAATCCTATTGGAAATATTAGGGCAGCCATACAGAAAAGGATCACTGTAAAACAAACCAAAAAACCATAAATTAGTGATGTGGTTTGGTGATTTGAAAAACAATGACAATTTGGCAAAAAGACATTTATGAAATCTGTGAAGTTTGATAGAGAGGTGGAGAAATGAGTCAGGGGTATCATTAACAACATCAATAGTAAATAAATATCCTGTTAAAAGATGGTTTATTATTATATTGATTTGAATACACCTAGTCCCTTGAACATAACTATAAGGAATAAAGATTTATATAACATGGTAATTAACCTTTAACACAGTGTCATTCCTATTTCCAACATCTAAATTGTAAATGGTTTTTATCACATTTGCTAAGTATTCCTTTGTTCTACTGAGGGTTCTATTCCTGACTAATTCACTGGTTAAGATACCAACTTTATGTTCCTCTGACTGGATGTTCACCTTTGAAGTACAGACCTGAAGACAAAGCACAATGTAAAAATTTGGTGTTAATTTAATTTACTATAACATTAAAAAGACTATCAGAATTTTTTAATACCATCTTTTAAATATCAATGTTCCTCTAGTGTTTTATATGGTTCAGGTCATGGAACACTGCAGTCTCTGAAGAAGTGAAAGTAAAAATCACCTCAAAGGTAAAAGAGGCACATGGTCAATATGAGCAGGCTGCAACATAATAAATCAGGAATACTGAAGAAGTGGAAAAAGGATGTCGAAGAAAAACAGGAAGAGGAAAAGGAAGAGGAAGACGAGGAAGAAGAAGAAAGGCTTGTGTGGTGAAGGACAGCTTGTGTGCTTCACTGGCATATGTGCAATGTCAGCAGAACACAAGGAAGCACATTGTGTGGAAGCTCTGTGGTGAATGCACAGGGTGAGAGTTGCATGGGATGGGCAAGCACAGCGAGGTTGCAGTGTGCATCATTGGAGGCAATACCCATATAGATGAGATTTCAGATCCACTTGTATGTAGTGAATATTTCTTTTATTCAGATTTAAGCCAGATCACTTAAAACCCTGCTGTGTTCACTCAGACAAAAGTACCTGAAGATATTTCATTACACTGCCACAGAAAGTGGGAAGGACAGAGATTTACCACTGCCTACAGACCCAAGGGAATTTAGCAACTATCTAGGAGATATCTGCACTGTCCAAATAGTTGCTTTTCACTCTAAACAATGTTCTAAAGAAAATAAAATCCCTCTCAATTTCCTGGGCATAGTTTTACAGGGAAAAGCAGATTTAAAAAGACCTTGTTTTGCTTTGACTGTACAAGCACAATTAAATATTGTGATGAAAAATGCTGGTCAAAACTCTACTGGACAGGCATAAAAACTTTGTATGTCTGGCTCAACAGCTTTTAATATGCTTGTAGAAAGTGTTTTAGAAAATTATGTCCCATTGTGCTAATTCATAGTTCCTGGGTAATGAAATCACCTATGTTTTCAAGAAAATATTTTTGAGTGTTTTGAAAGGAACTTTACCTCTGGTTAAATTTACTCATGGCCAAATATTAATTCCATCCTGTGTAGCTTAATTAGTTTGAGATCTAGAAAATCATACTATCTCCAGTATAATGTAAAACAAGACGTAGATAGTCACTGCTTGTCAAAAGAAAGAAAAGTGTAGTAGAAAGAGAGCTGGCTTGCTGCTGGAGATCTGGATTTGAATACTAGATCTGATATGATACTACCTATATGATTTGGGCCAAGTCGCTAAACTCCCTGAGGCTCAGTTTCCTTATCTGTAAAAAAAAAAAAAAGGGGTTGGTTTCAATCTCTTAATATCTCTTTCTGGCTCTAATGATTTACAAGACTTGAAGTTTTCCATTACCATCACTGTAGCTTCTTTCAGGTTCAGTTTACTTTTTAGACTAAATTTTCTAAGCTAGCCAAATTACAGAATTTAGTGTGACAGTATGAATAAATAAAAATAAAAATGGGATCTTTTTCTAGAACGGTATCTTCTTAAGGATAAAATTCTAAGTAATAAACACTACAGCACTTAGGGCTGTTTCAGTGGCATGATTTGATATTGTTTTATCTTATAGAAAGACAAGCATTATTTCATTCTGGAAAACTATCACACTCATTGATATGTAACTGGAGTTAGATTACTTCAAATACCCACTAGGGACAAACATTTATCAAGTAAGTTTTAATGTTTTATGCCATTTCATTATCTAGTCAACAGTAAAGAATAATTTTATATAGGGCTGCCAATGGCCACTTCCCAGCCTATTTGACACAATTTGCTGATGAAGCTTGCGACCTAATATGATTTGATAGGAGATCTGTAGCTATAATCTAAGTCTTCAATAATACACAATCTTGTTAAAACACAAGAGAGAAACAATTCTTTTTAAAATGTCACTTTCTTAGTGTTGAAAAAACTGGCTGCTAATTATCTTAATCTTGTACTCAAAATGAAGTTAATGGAAAAATACTTTAAAGAATTATACATTTTAAAGCTGCTACTTTTAGAAACTGACATGCAAATGACACTCCTGCCTCTTTCTGTCCCCAGTGTGAAATTAATATTCACATTTTTAGTGGAGTAATCAGTGAACATATTCACATTAAAATAATCTTTAATATTTTATATGAGTTGAACGTTTTCCAAACTGGCAGGAAAAGGCTTAATCATTTTAGAAGAAAGCAGATTTTTATTCAATCTGATCTTGGTTGACATCTAAAGACTTATCAGTTCTTAGGCTTAAGATAAATTTTGTATCTATATTTTTTAACTGGTTATAAGGAACTATTAAGTTACTTGAGAAGTGACGATGATAATAAATCTACTAACTTCTGAAGAGTCAGAACAAAAAAGGGAAACAATCACCTTAGATGTGCTGGTAGATGAGGAGGAGACAGAAGTCAGAAGAGACAAGACTGGCATCATAGCATAGCAGAAAGAACAATGGCCTCAGAGCCAAAAGACCTTTGTTCAAGTCCCACCTTTGTGGTTCCATAACTTGTTAACTTTGAGACTTGGAATATTCAACTCCCAGAAATCTAAGTATCTTCCTTTATTTAAAAATGTGTACAACAATACCACTCCTACCTACCTCAGAGGGTTAAGAGGAAATTGCTTTGCAAATGGTAAAGCAATATATAAGCATGAGTTGTTATTTTTATTTATAAGGTCTTTCAATAAATATGATCAAAGACATCACTTTGCCTTCCCTTCTTTCTGCAGTGATTTCATCATGAAATCTCTTCCAAATTTTCCCACAGAGGAATCCATCAAACAATGACCTGTTTGATCCATGAACCAATATGACTAATAGAATGGTATATAACAAAATCAAGGTAATCTTCAAAGTTGGGATATAAACACCAGAGGGAGCCCATTCCCTCCTATTACTGTCACACTACAGTAGATGATCTCAACTGGCTAAAACATTAAGCTTGAGGCTTATTCTACCAAACTTCAAAGAGAAAGTACAAGAAAGAAGTCACGTTAATTACTGCTCCTAGTTTTGATCACTTTTGTATCAATTACCAAGAAATATATGCAGAGGCAGACCTTATGCCAATATTTCGACAAAATCTAGGGACAAATTCTTCCATTTTCACTCATAAGGAATGAACTTCAAATAGCAAACATGATTGCATTTTGCAGCAATTCATAAAGGCTTAAGTTCCCTTTTAAATCTCTCTTCGATATACCCCAAACCAGGCATTTTTTTCTTTCTTTAAACCGCCTCAGGGCCCAAATCTAAGTAAATGAGGGGACTATCTTCTCAACTGAGTTCTTCCTATATTGAAGGTGAAAGAAACTACTGGTTTGTTCTTTAAGTAGTTTATAACAGGAATGGACAACTTTTTTCTCTGTCCACAGGAAAAAAAATAAAGAAATGAAGACACAGAAAAAGAGAACTAGAAAAATGACAGGAAAAGGGAACAAACTAATACTGAAAGACATTCAGATCTCCACAAAGAGTGACTGATAGTTGTTCATGGAAAAGCAACTCTATATTTTAGCTTTCTAGGATACTGCCACTAATGATTTGTTGCCTTTTCACAACTATAGAAGCAAATGAGGATATCAATTCTTGATATCTTTATGACAGGTCAGGCAATATGAAGCTCAGAGCAAACCGAACGCATGAGTTTGAGTGTCTCTATTTCCACTTTATAATATTAAATGACTTTTATTCACTTGAAATTTGGGCTAGGTCAATCAACTAGAAGTTCCCTATAGCAGGTCTATGAAGTAGAAGATCCCTTTAGCATTATTATTACTTATCCTACAAGTCATCATATTTTCTACAGCTTTCCTATCTCTCTGAAAAGTAATAGATATAGCAGAAGTAGCAGAATTATAGAACTGACTTTTCCTCTTCATAGTGATCTATTTGGTTTAGCTCTAAGATAAGCCTTCCTATGATTTATTTTATAATTAGGCTCAATTTTCTAAGTTATAAGAGGACATGCAGCACATACATTCATTACACTCTTGAACAATGTTTAACAATGTGTAGAACAGTTGATACACATTTATTACAAAAGAAAACTTATAGATTCTTTTATAGCAGACATGCAAAAGCAATAATGTTAGTAAAAACAAACAATAATGTAATTTTGTGTTTCTGAAACTTTTTCTTTTGATTATTTTTGATATGGAGGCACAATTGCCTGTAGTCAAAAAATTGGATCAACTATGCCACAACAGAAATGAGAAACAAATTCATCAAATAATTAAGACAGCAGAAGTTTTTCCTAAAAAGTAGTCAAAGGTTTTAAAATACTAATCTTAAGTAAAAGGTCTGAATTAGTAGAGACTGAATTTTAGTTCTCTTTGTATATAGTACCTTTAGGCACTTAATGCCTATGCCAAATACTTTCTACTTTGATGTTCACTAATGTTCAGGAAGAACTGACTATTTGCTTCTGTTTTTCTTTATAAAAACCTATCTGCTTTCCTGACAAGTTTGGCAAACACAGATTACTTACTTCCAGTGAATGCTATCCAACGAGCATATTTTGTAGCTTCTCTTCGCCAATGGGAAGCCACCAGCAAGCCACATGTGACAGTCAATGAAATGATTCCCATGATGATGAAAAATAATGTGGTAACCCATTCAGGGGGAAGCCGGGGAGGGATACATGTCCTGTCACGTCCATGGATTGTTTGACACTGCCGTACAAGGCCCACAGTGAGTGCTCCTAGAGAGAAGCAAAATGTGGGGAAATGTTTATGGAGCTGTTGAGATTCTTTCTTCCTCCTCCCCCTAAAACAAACTGAGCTGTCCCTAATTTGTTAAGTCAGTGGGTTAATGCAACTCTGCTCCACAAAATAATATTTGGTGCTAGTAAACTCTAAACTTGAGGAACACGAGGAATGAGGTCAATCTAGGGCATTTAATTCCACTGAAGCCCTGGAAAGCTACACATGAAGTCTGTTTAACACATGCAATATAAACTTTTATATATCTATATCCACATAGATATATAGTTATACATAGATATATATTTATATCTATATATCAACTGTAATCATTCTGTTCTTAGATAGAAAACTCACTTGTAGTGCTTTTCTGGGTCACTGGAGACAACATTTTCTAGGAAAACTGCTGACAACATTGAGTATCTTAGACTAAGCATTAGAAAAACTACCCTGTCAAAGTTAAATGGACTAAGACACTACATCAACTTTCCCACTAAACCCCTAAAAATATGCTGGAAGAGACTGTTTCCCACTCAGTATGTTCAGTAATTTTAGAACATAATAAAAACACTATATCCACAATTTGAACAGTCACTAGCATGTCTTATCAGAAAATCAATTCAGCACAAACAACCAAAGATATATGGAGAAAATCCCAATTAGTGATTGTTATAAAAAATTGTTTTCTTTTTAGCATTAAAATAATTTCACACCAACACTATGGATTGTCTTTTATTCAACAAAGATTTATTAAGTACCTACAATATACAAGATGCTGAAGGTGATAAAAAATAAGGTAACTTTAACGTCAAATAGTTTACACTCTAATAGGCAAATAGGATGTGAATAAGCTAAAACCATAACGACAACACAAAACGAAATATAAGTGTATAGGACAGGCATAAAGTGCTCAGTTGTAAGCAGCATCAAGGAAGAAAGATTCATGGAGGAAGCAGTATTTGAATTGGGTTTTAAAATATAGACAAAAAATTCCATTCTACACCCTCAAAAGAAGGAAAACTGGGGCAGCTAGGTGGCGAAGTAGATAGAGCACCAGCCCCGGAGTCAGGAGGACCTGAGTTCAAATCTAGCCTCAGACACATAACACTCACTAGCTGTGTGACTCTGGGCAAGTCACTTAACCCCAGTTGCCTCAAAGAAAGAAAGAAAGAAGAAAAGAAAGATGGAAAAACTTTGGACATGTTCATGAAATGTAAGGAGTTCAGATCACAGAATACACAGGAAAGAAAATAGCATGGATAAGGCAAGGCAGGCTGAAGCCAGAAAGTAAAGGGTCTTGATTATAAGGAGAATGTTTGGACTATATTAAGGAGTCAGCAAAGATTTCTGACAAATTGTAATTAGATCTATGTATTACTGAAGGTTAATATGGCAACAGTGTGAAGGAACTGAGAAGAAAGAGTTAGAAAAGAAGATTGATTAGAGGAATATTTCAATAGTTTAGGTGAGATGTAATGAGGGCTTTGGCTAGGTTGGTGGCAGTGGGAATGCAAAGAAGATGCTCTATGCTGGAGCTCATGGAAGCAGAACCAAAAGGAACTGGCAACTATATGGATATGGATATGGGGGTTAAGGGAGGGGGAAGATGAGTCAAAAATGACTCATTTTGAGCCTCAGGTGACTGGAAGAATGACACTTCCATTAACAGAAACAGAAACTGCTAAGATCAGGTTTGAAGAAAAGATGAGTATAGTTTAAGAATCAGTGAAAATTTATTCACAGAATCTTAGACTCAGAGGCTAGAGGTTCTATATTCATTTGAAAAACAAACAAAACAAAAAAATCTCCAAACTTCATTCACCACTAAGAACTGTGGGAGAAAGTGTTACTCTTATACAAAGAACAGCTGCAATAAAAGTTACCTAGAAGAAAAGAAATGCCTGAGGATCTACCTAAAAATAACAGATTCCTATACTTTCTGCGCTGGCTATTTTTTCACTAGAAAGATGATTTCTTTCCAGAAAAGAACCTCTTGACCTAAGACTATGATTTTCTTTTGTCCTATTTATATTTTTACTCAATAGGATAAAGATGCCTGCCACTAACAAGTGACTTCTTAAAGAACAAAACTTGTGTATTCAGTGCTTCTGATATGTGATGGGCTGGCTGTGAAGGAAGAGGTTGCGACAGTAGTCTGGGTGTTTTAGCACCTTGGTTTTTTTTTTTTTGCTAGTGAAGTACTTTTAGAAATGAAAATGAGAGTAAATGAAGTAAGAAGTAGGTTATAGTCTCAAATGATGCTAGAATCCTGAAATTTTTTTTTAAAGTGCTAACTACATATGACCCTAGCTCTTTAATTACAGTTAACAGAGAAGGTAGAGGGAAATTAAATTTAGATAAGCTATGTTTTTATCCTGTTATAGCACTAAAATAATCTCACACAGGTCTATATGATGATCTTTGCACAGAAGAAAGATAGGAATGTAAATGTAGGATTTTTTGGAGCTAGGACTAAGGTACACACTAGAGGGAAAGAATGTAAGCAGACTTCCACAGTAACATTATGCCTACCTCTAGCCTCCACTATTTGGAGTAGTATATGCCAAATCAGAATAAATAAGTTAAATTTCCTTGGATTTCTAGTATTAATCTTTAAAAGTCTTGTGATAATTGTTTGATACAAATTAGAAAACCAGAGGAAAAAAGACAACAGTGAATATATAGCTGTCCCTAATTTATTCCCCTGCCACGGCCCCCCCCATTTTCTTGAAATGAAAACATGAAGGGGAGGGCCTCCTACAAAACTGTTAACTTATGATGACAAAGCATTTTCTTGTACTTTCTGAAAATAAAGAAGGCATTCAGGGCAGTACCCAAGAGCTCAGAACAGGAAACTACTCCTGACCATTGAGCAAAGGAAGGCCTCAAACAACAAGTTAACCTCTGTAGTCACTGTTACATATATGAAAACAGATTGTTCTATGAAAGACTATGAAAATAAACCAAAGGAACCTTACAAAGTATAATCTTTAAAAAGAAAAGGTATAATAAAAAAATCCCAAAATACAACACCAAAGTATAGTCTGATAAATTCTAATTATAGCCTTTTTGATTACTTAATCTAAAGGGCTTTATACTAAAAAAGATGAGGGAGGGAGAAGACTGCTTATGTATAACTCCCAAGTAAGATACTATAGAAAGCAGCCACAAAGAAGAAAGAATAGCAATTGCAACACCCAGAAATCCATAGGAGAAAAAAAGCTAAGAAAAGTTGGTAGCGAAATCCAGCCTCCAAAGTCCACAAATGTCCAGAGTTTTCATTTGTAATTGCCTACAGATAGAACTTTCCTAAATTTCATTTTGAAGATTTTTCCATAAAGTAACTCATTCTATATGCCATAACTCAAATATACTCTCTCTTCTTAAACATAGTTCTGAATGTATATGGTGTAGATAAAAGTATATATATATATACATACATATATAAAACACTGCTCCTTTTCCCCAATGCAGAGCATTTTATTGCTCTAGCCTAATTTATCTTTTTGTGTGTGTGGTTAAAATATTTGAAGACTTACTTTGTCTTCCTTTTTTGGCTGGAACTCAATCAAGCACAAAGAACTACGTACACACTTAGAAAAAAGCTATTAATCAAAATTATAGACACACCTTCAACAAACTAGGAGAAAGAATCTTAACAGATGTTTATCTCTAATGGAACAGCAGTGTTTCAGTGCGTACTGAATCTGATTACCAAAGGTAAAGATAAAACATTAACACCTGCATTTTGAAGGAAAGTGACTTCATGTTAATTAGTGATAAGAAAATGTAAAGTATCTAGGAAAATGAATCCCCAAGTATTTATTTATTGTTTATTATGTTTATTATGCACTGTTACACGAATCAGAGATATGACAATTAGTAAAACCTACCAATTTCAATAAAAAAAGAACCTCTTAAGACACACTGTATATCTAGTGAAAGCAAACTGTTTGTTAACATTATTATTTTATTTTATAGGTGTTGCCCTAGAACAATGCAACTTCTAACTTGGAATCACTGAGCTGGATGACATCTTAAGAGATAACTCAGTCCAAGTCCCTCATTTTACAAATTAGGAAATCAAAGGCCAAAAATGTAAGTGGCAGAGCTGGGAAGTGTTCAAACTTGTGTTATAGTGTGCTTTTCACTACTATTACCTCCTTGGGATATAATAAATTACAGTCACATATATTGTTCCATAAATTATGTCATACACATAGGTTGTTAATGTATATTACAAACAGTAGATATTCAATAGATTCTATCTGCTGAAATAAATGGAATATCTGAGTATCCTGTCATTTTCTAGTACTGTTAGCTCAGGAAACTTTTGCCCATCTGCAGACTTAATCCACTTTACTTATAACAATTAACCACGACTTTCTCTTTCTCTGAATTCCTGCACATAGGCTATGCCATACAATCTTGTATTTGACTATACTCTATTTTGTTTTATATGATCTTCTCTAGTTATTCCATGCTTATGAGGCTTAACTCCTTAACCAAGTTGTGAACACTTGAACAGAGACTGAATCATCCATCTTCCACTTCTTTTGTATCCCCCCTCCCAACCTCTAATAGTTCTTACCACAGTACTGGGCCCATGAGAAGCACTTAATAAATTCTTAGTGAACCAAAGTGAATTGAAAACAAGCTACATTTAAAATCACATTGTATTAAATGCGCTCTCCTGTAGAACACGCCTTATTCTCAGTGGCTCCCTGCAGCACACTAATTAAACACACACTCAATCATTCACTAATGTTACATCTTTATCTGCCACTTGAAGTGGCCTACAATTTCAAATCCCCTTAAACCAAATCTGTCTGTATCCTGCACTTGTTTCCTAGGTAACCAACCCTGCTAAAGAGAACTGTATGTAGTAAAAGGAAAACAAACCCCAGAGCACTACCCCTTTCTTCCTCCCTTCTCTTGGAATTTCACCTACATGATACAATATGCAAAAGAAAAAACAAGTAGTGATTCTAGGCATGGA